AATGGTTAAAGTAGTAAATTTTATGTTATATTTTTTGTACTATGATTAAAAGTTAAAAAATAATTTTTGGACCCTGTGGGGGAACCAGATTCAGGAAGCACTGCCATTTCCTATCAGTCACAGCTGTTTTCAGTAAATCAAGATGTGATTGCTGCTGCTCATGATAGGAAGTTGCAGAAACCCTCACTGGAGGCCACACAACTCCCTTCAAACACTGAGACAAGTGACCAGTGGGAAAATTAATGTTGCCATTAACCCTCATGCTTGCTGAAGCACGTATCTATGTCTCTTCCTCTCAATGTAGAAAAGCGTATATAACTTATTTATATGGCTCTTCCCTCCACTAGGTCTTCTAGCACATATCATTGATAGAGTATAAATTGCTTCTAGAACATTAGCTAAGGGATCTGGAAAGTATTGGTCCCAGTCTTCCAGCCCCTTTCACACAAAGTGGGATATGGAATGAGAAGGACCCCTCTGGTTTCCATTAAAAAATCCGACATGCATATTGAAGATAATTTTACTAAGTGCTTGGTGTAGACCTCTATGTATATTGCATTTCCTCTATGGATGAATTTATATTCTTTTCTACCAGGAGCAGGGACGTTTAGGATGGAACAGAATGCCAGGATGGAAGCAGATGTCTATTGCCACTGATGACCCTCTATTACTAACTTTGAAACTTTGAGGGTTTTCGCATGTATAGAAGTGGGAACTGTAGGCTATAGGTTCAAGATAGTCTTTCTTGAAATGTTCAACTGTGTTTGTGGGTCTATAGTACTAAGCGTAATGTGCGGCACAAACTTTGCCTCTTGGAGAGTAGATTCATTCACTAACTATAAAATCTTTCCTTGTGGTTTTGTTACACATTGGTTCTAAATGTTCCCAGAGATGGTGTTGAAGATAATTCTGTTTCCTGTGTGGGAAAAGGTGACCTAGTAGATTATTCCAGAAAGAGGAACCTTTCTGCAAAACAACATTATCTTTCTCGCCTCTCTTCCTTTCAGATTAAGATGCTAATCTCTTTTGACAACTATGTGCTCTTTTTGTTGGGCTTCTTTCACTTAGAAAACTTATATTGAAGGTCATCCATGTTTTTGCATGTATTGAATACTATCATAATGTATGGATTTACTATAATGTGTTTATCAATTTGCCTACTGATGGGCATTTGGACTGTATCCAGGTTTGGTCTTTGACAAATTAAGCTACTATGAACTTCATGTTCAAGACTTTATATGGACACAAGCTTTAATTTCTCTTAGGTAAGTACCTAGAAGGGAAAGGGTCAGTCCTATGAAACATGCTTTATGTTTAAGAGACTGCCAAATAGCTTCCAAAGTGATTGTACCATTTTACATTCCTCCCAGTAGTATATGAAAGACACGGTTTCCCCACCTTGATGCCAGCACTTGGTATAGTCAGTTTTTTTCATTTTACCACGCTAATAGATGTGAAGTAGACTCATTGTGATTTTAAATTGTATTTTGAGCTCTTTTCATGCCATTACTTGTTTATTTGGTCAAGTGTTTATTCAAATCTTTTGCTTCTTTTTAAACTGAATTGCCTGTTTTCTAATTTTTGAGTTGTGAGGTCTTTGTATAGTCTTCAATCAAGTCCTTTACTGGAAATATGATTTGAAACTATTTACTCCTAGTGTTTTCTTTTTATTTTACATCAACATCTTTCAAAGAACAGATGTTTTAATTTTCAGTCCAATTTGCACTTTTTAAAGTGAATCATGCTTGCACTTCTCCAAGCTCATCAGCAAAAACAAGAGAGAGATTTTTCTCTGGGAGATAAGAAAGCTTCTGCCGGTTTACAGAATACAGGAAATTCAAGTTTTGTGGGCATTTTCATGACCGTATCTCCATCCCAAGTCTCACCATCCCATTGTTTTTTTTACTAAGGTCTCTAAAAATACAATAAAAGACTTATTAAAATGCATATCTAGTGTCCCCTGCATTTGTACTACCTTCAAACTTTAAAATTTGTTCTTGATTTTCAACATAGTCTGCAGAATGTATGTGTTTATAAGTGTTTTACGGGAAGCCTTGTGACCTCCATGGTGTACATCGGGTTGATATTTAACTAATCTAAGAGTTTTATCCATTTTCTTTAAGGTTTCTTAAACCTTAAAGCCAAACCTTAAAGCCAAGACGACAATCATTGTTATCGTCTTCCCATATTGGTCTAAGAGTTAAAACTGCTTAACTCAAAAGTTTCTCTTCTACATAGGCCTCATTCCTACCCACTGCTGGCTGGAGTCTTCAGTAGTGACATTATAGCATGTTAGAGATCATGGTCATAATTTCCACTAATCTGGAATCTTTATAATTATCTGATTGTGTAGACAGTCACTTCCAAAATCTGATAAAGAAGGTCTACTTTGTAGAGCTGGTCTCCTCACTTCCCCTAAAAGCAGCATGTGAGATAAGGATTTGAGTGCAGATGGTTATTGGGTGGTCAGCTTAGAAAGCTGTGAGAAGGACCGTGGAGAATAGACGGGAAAGAAGGAAAGCCACAACAAGATGTTTAAATCCACCATTTTGGGTAATTGAGATTTGATTACCCAAGTACTTTCAAGAAGTGTGTAAAACACCTCCCAGAACTGTCAACTTAAAGGGCAAGAGGCTGAGACATTTAACTGTCTTTCTTTGAGTGCATACGAACATTCAGTCTACAGCATATGCTAACCTTGTGCAATTTTTAAATTATTTTTAAAATTTTTTATAAACATAACCTTGTGCAATTTATAGACCTTGCAAATATTACCTCCAAGCTGATGACCTTTATTTTCCATCTGCATGGTTCTTTTTAAGGTACTAAATGCTGTTTTTTAAAAAAAAAACAAATACGTATTTATTTATTTATTTAAATTTGAGAAAAGAAAGGTACACCACACTTGGGTTGTTTCCACCTGTTGGCTATTGTGAATAGTACTGTTATGAACCTGTGCATACAAGTATTTGTTTGAATATTTGTTTGTAGTTCTTAAGGTCACATATTATGTGATTCCATTTATAGGAAACTTCTAAAATAGACACACCTTTACATGCAGAAAGCATATTAGTGGTTTCCAGGGTCAGCGGGTAGGGGAGCAATGGACACAGGGTTTCCATTAGGGGTGATGAAGAGTTTCTGGAACAGGCAGAGGTAATGGCTGGACAACACTGTGAATGGATTAAATGCCTCTGAATCATACATTTTAAATATGGTTAATGACTACTTTTGGAATTGAGATTCTCACTGGGCATTTAGGGTTTCAGATACAAGTGTAAAATGATGAGTAAGCATTTCAGTGTAGAGTCTGCATCCTGAAGTAGGTGTCTAGAGTTGGGGATAAAACAGTAGAAGCCACGTAGTCCTAAATGCTACTTACACTTATGTAATTGGATGTGATCTATGTAAGGAAGAGCTTAAGAGAAAAGAGAAGATATTTCATTTGCAAGTTTTGATTACATGAAATTTTAAAGTGGAATAGAGGAGGAGTCAGTCCAGAAAATGAGAGCTCGTGGTCCCCAATCTAAACCAAAATCTAGGTGACATACAAAAGGTATTCTTAAGTTTTTTACTTAAAACATCTGCCTAAAAATCTGAGTTAGAAAATGTCATTTCTCTAGCTTAAAGATTCTCTTTGTTCGGAGGCAGCCAGAGAATAAAGACCTGGCAATGGGCTGTGCCTAACAGGGCCCTTTCCAATGCTGCAGGTGTCATACCTAGGGAGCCTCCTTGAGTTTTGAAACTTCTCTGTGTTTGTCACAATCTGAGTATCTGGGTCAAAAAATCTTTAGCAGGAGCTCCTGTGGGGTTTTCCCTTACCTTTGTTTTAGGCCATGGTGTTCTCTGATAAACAGCTGTGATGTGTCCAGACTTCTAGTACAGTAGATAATTACTCAACTCTGTTGCCTAGAATTAGACTCTGATAGCTTTATTCCACTCTGTCTTTCCCTTTTCATTCCTGTTTTCCTGGCTGAGATGCCACTTATTCTAGAAGTTTGTTTTTTTCCATTGAAATGGGTAGATACTGAGAATAGTGCATTTCTTCTCTGCCTCTTCTTTATGTCTTTGTTCTAGATCTTTCTTAATTATATCCTAGAGTAAAACCAAAGTATGGATGGATATTCTCAGAGTTAATAAAAGTGGAGAATATATCTCTTTCCCTTGTGTTCATTGCCAATTTTACAGAACAAACATTTATAATCAAATTTTATGAGCTCAAAAGGAAATAAACACTCTGTCAATAATTTTATATAGATAGAATATATAATATAATATTTAAATAAAATATAATTATACAAATATTGTAGTCATATATAATTATATATGTAATCTATAATTTATCTATCTGTACCTATCTATCTATATGTAATCTCCTCAATGGTCTCCTCAAATTCAAAACAAAAACTAAGTAAAATACCACTGGCTTTCATTTTTTTTTTTTTGGCATGAAAATATACTTCAGACTTATCTTGTGTATTTCTTACCCAATATCTAAAATCTGCCGCTTACCCAAGGTTTGGTTTCTTTTATTGGAGAACAATATTTGAAGCAAAGATCTGTGAGTTAAGTGTGCTTGTTGTTACTGGGTTTTTTTTTAAGGTTCTCTCAATGGAAAGAGCAAGGAAATACGTGTGCATGTTGACCCCTGTGAACACATGTATCTATGTTAACTGAAATATGAGCTCATACTGATTTCTCCATCTCTAATAGGTTGTCATATGGATCATTCTAGACTTCTCTCCTTGCTTGTCTATGATCTCTCATTTCAACAGCAAGAAACATGGCTCCCACAATCTACCATCTACTTACTTAGTGCTTCAACTCCAGTATATGTGCATAGTATGTTCAGATTTGACTGACAAGATTAATGCATGCTGTAGATTAAATGTTTATGTCCCCTCAAAATTCATAAGTTGAAAACCTAATCAGCAATGTGGTGGTATTTGGAGATGTGGTCTGTTGGTAGGAGGTGATTAGACCATGAGGGCAGAATCCTCATGAATAAAGTGAGTGCCTTTTATAAAAGAGACCCCAGAGGGCTACCTTACCTCCTTGAGCCACCTGAGGGCTGGCTGTCTATAAACCAGGAATTGGACCCCCGCCAAATCTGCCTACACCCTGATCTTAGATTTCCAAGGCTCCCAAACTGGAGAAATAAATTTCTGTTGTGCATAAGCAACTCAGTGTGTGGTACTCTGTTATATAGAGTGGTCCAAACAGACTAACACAGCACAGAATTACTTAAAGAAGATTTAAAAATCAGTACAACAAATTCAAACTAACCAACCAAAGAATAGAAGACACCAACATTCAATTCCTATAAGACCTGATAGAAATAGCAATAAACATATGAAAAAATGCTTACAACCATTTTAAGCCCTTTAAATGGGTACAAACTGATCTCTTGTATACTACTGGTTTTTAGTATCTTATAAAACAAAGACCTGGACAGGATATGATGCAATACTAACAACATTTGTCACCTATTTCTTAGGGTAAGATAATTTGAAATATGACTTTAGAGAATAATTTAACAATATCCTATAGTAAGAGGTGAGCACAATTTAAGACATAGACCTTGCAAATTATTTCCCAGTATACAAAGAGATGTGCACCAGACTGTTCTGAGTTGGGTTTCTTCTAAAAAATATTGCAGGAACTGTAGGTTTTATCAACATGCAAGAAAGAAAATGTTTGTATTTACATAGCTATATATGGTAAGATAATGGAACTGAATGAATAAAAGCCACACATTTTGATAGTGGGTGGAAAATACTCTTTGAAGAAGTTAAAGTAAACATGATATATTTTTAAAGCACAATCATAATATATTAGTGAACTTGATTAAGGATAACTCTCCTTTTGTCTGCCCATATTTTAACCAAATGTTTTCTCTTTCACAGACTTCCAAAACCAGTGAAAAATGTAAAGAGCAGAGCATTGAAAATCAATGTAGGAAAAATTCTATTTTTATTTAATGTTATATTTTGCAGAAAATAAGTGGGTTCAGTAAAAAATACCAAAAAACATATGTTTGGATCTGATTTCTCTCTCTAGATCTTCTGAAGCAACTGGTTCTCTGCTATAAAAAATTAAGTAGTTACATTCAAAGCAAAATTATAATCATAATCAATAAAGGTAGTGGTTGAAGAGCTCTCCAATGTAACCAAGAGAAAAGAGCTAGCAAAATCATTGGTTAATATCTTTTTTTTTTTTTTTTTTTTTTTTTAGGCTCCATGCCTAGCGTGGAGTGCAATGCAGGGCTTAAACTCATGACCTTGAGATCAATACCTGGGCTGAGATCAAGAGGAGGATGCTTAACCTCCTGAGCCACACTGTCACCCCACTAACTTTTTTAGTATACCCAGTTGTAGTGGTTAGTGATTTTTGTCATGATGTTTGTTAACAAAATGTTAACTTGTAGGAATTCAAATTTATTCTTAGCTGCTGTTTGGTCTTTGGGATAAAAGTGAGAATGACTTGTCCTCATGTGACTGAGGTTTTGATATGAAAAGCCTTAAATACCGTACTTAAGAGAACAGCCTGGAAGTGCAACCAAGATCTAAAAGCAAGTTTCTGTTATTGGGTCCTTGGCTTCCCTATCTCGTGTGAGCAGTAGTTTACTCATTGAAGTTTCACTTGCAGCTGCCCTGTGGTAGGCAGGGTAAGATGACCCACAGGAAGTCATGGTGACTACACAGAGCTGAAAGTGATTGTCCCACTACTCTTCAGATCAGGTCAGACTCTTTGGTGGACGTGGTTTTAAGGAATGATGGTGAGAAGGAGCTCTCACCTCCCATTTGGTGTAGTTCTAAAGGGATGCAAAGGTAGGAAGACTTCATTTTCTATTCTCAGCTTCTAGGAAGAGTTCTGGGTTGAGCTTTTGGTGGGTGATGTGTAGGAACATGGATCAAATGTGTCTAGTAAAGGCTGAGGTAAGAATGAAATTTGGGATGAGTTAGCTTGCTTTTGAAGGATGGGTTCTCATGTGCGTGGGAGTAAATGTTCAAGCTGTGGAATTGTGCCCCCTTCAACATTTTTTTCAATGGGAAGACATTAACTAACCTCCAGAATATATGGAATGTGAACCAAAGAAATTGAAGGAAAGGAGAGGGAAGAAGTGGCTGGCTAAAGGTACCTGATACAGACCTCTTTTCCTGGAAATGGCCCTGTTGTGTATATTCACATGCAGAAAGCAGCTCAACACACCTTGGTTTTATTCTTGACCTGATTTGAGAGGGAAACTATGGAACTTGATCATGTAAGGAAAATTTTCTGGTCCCTCCTTTGTTTCCTGTCTTATGATAGAAATATTACTCTTTCAGGGTCCCTGGGGACCTCACTCAATTAAGCATCTGACTCTTGATCTAAGATCAGGTCTTGATTTCAGGGTAGTGAGTTCAAGCCCTGTGGCAATCCATGCTGGGGGTGGAGTGTACTTAAAAAAAAAAGAAGGGAAAAGAAATATTACTCTTTCTTGAGACACATAAAATTATACACAAACATGTTTTGACATTGTCCCATATCTATGTGTCTTAAACACACACAAAAATTATCTGAGACTCAATGTAACCTAAGGTCACAAGTTTAGGTTTTATCTTCAGGATGTTTTGCTTAGACCTGGATCCTGATCACGGAACAGATGGTTGTCGTAATTCTGTCAGTGTTGTTTTTCCCAGACAGAAGTAGTGATGCTATTGTTTGAGTCCATTTGTAATTATCTCTGTGTGGGCAAATATGCAAGAATGACCACTTTTTTTCCCTTTAGGAATAAAGAATGAGGGGCGCCTGGGTGGCTCAGTGGGTTAAGCCTCTGCCTTTGGCTCAGGTCATGATCTCAGGATCCTGGGATCAAGCCTTGCATCGGGCTCTCTGCTCAGCAGGGAGCCTGCTTCCCCCTCTCTGCTTGCCTCTGTTCTTACTTGTGACCTCTCTCTCTGTGTCAAATAAATAAAAATAAAAAATATTTAAAGAAAAAGGCATAAAGAATGAGACAGAAACTAGGAAATATAGACAAACCAGACTTATTATAGGTCACATTACAACCAAAGCAGACATATCAGGCAGAATGAACAAGGGTGTGTCAGTGATTTTTTTGCCACAGTAATGGTGCATAACAAATAACCCCCTGAAACTTAATGGCTTAAAGCAATAAACATGCATAGGCTGACAAGTCTGCACTTGGGTGTGCATGGCCCTTCTGAAATTCCCTGGGATCACTCACATGTATGAGGGTCAATAATTGCTATCTGGTTAGGGATGACTTCAGCTGGGATGAATGCTACTACTTTTCTCATTTCTGGTATCTTTTATCTTCAAACAAGGTGGCCCAGCTATGTTTTCTCAGCCATGACATGAGCTCAAGAGCCTATGCTTTTAAAACATTTGCTTATATCCCATTGGACAAAGTGAGTCACAAGGCTGAAATCAAAATTGAAGAGGAAAGGAAATATATTCTATCTTTTAATGGGGGCAGCGGCGTGTCATGTAGCACTGGTGTGAATGCAAAGAAGGGTAAAGAAGAAAAGCTGTCGATGCAACAAATCTATTTGCAAGGGTAGTATACAACAATTAAAGAGATCTCTGAAAACCATTTTGAGTTGGCCTGGCACATCAGAGCTTTTAATAAATCATCACTATGCTTATGGTGTAGGGCAACATTAACAGAGGTAAATTTGCTAGAGAAATTGAATTCTCATTTGGTCCAAACACAGAAATGCTGACTGACATTGAAGAAGTGATAGAATCCCTTGAAAACTAAGTTCTCTTACAAGGAAACTGAAGGTTCTCATTTTATGTAGTTTCTACTCTCACACGCTTATGAATTCATGATATAAATTAAAAATTTATTTTCTTTTATTGTATTGTAGGCTTCCAGCTGACAGGAATTGTGCATGTTTTGTTCATTGCTATATTCCTAGCCACAAAACTTATAACAGGGCCTAGCACATAGTAGACATTTAATCAATATTTGTTGACTGAATGAATGAATGAATGGATAATACTCTTGTGAACCAGAACCATAACACATGGCTCTTACAGGACTCACTAGAATGATTTGTTCTTTTTCCATCATTTTTTCCCTAGAAGATGTAAATTCTTCATGCATTCTTCATGCATATTCATCATATTAAATTTTAATAATAATACAATAAAAATAATAATGATGTGTTATCTATTAATATTTCAATTATACCAAGCACTTAGTTCCAAGTTTTATATGTACAAAGCTGTTGAAATCATGCAGGCATATGATAAGTAACAGGAGGCGAGTACCACAAGCACCCCCTTTTGTAATTTTGTTATTTATTAAAAGAGTTTATTTATTTATTTTTGAGAAAGAGAGAGAGAGTGGGGGGAGGGGCAGAGGGAGAAAATCTCAAGCAGATTCTGCACTAAGCATGGAGTCAGACACGGAGCTCCATTTCCTGACCCTGAGATCATGACTTGAGCTGGAACCAGGAGTGGGATACTCACCAGACTGAGCCACCCAGGCCCTCCCACTCCAGTTTTTATAATTTTCAAAACTAAGGCATGGAAATGGTAACAAAGATATACCCATGTTTACACAGTGTGTGACTGGAATTATAACTCAGGCAATTTCATTTACCATCATACTCATGATACCATTCTTCCAAAGGCCATTTTTCATGTCTACAAGAAAGGGGTTGAAGAATGAATCTGTTCTCTGTAAAATATTTACATTCACAGCACTAAAGTTTGTGTTAATACACCAGAAGGAGCAACTGCATGGTTTGGCCCGAATCCTCCACAGAAAAACATCATCCAACTAGACCAAACAGACAATCTGAAGACCTTCCTGAAGGGGGAGCCCCAAATACTGGGGGTAAGTGAGCTTGACCTCCAAACATAGTATTTGGGAAGATAACTGTTTCCAGAGAGGAGAAGAGTTGTCCTTTGTGGCTCCTGAGGTATGATTAACTCTGTCATAAACTGACCTCCATAAACCTCACTGTGGCAGGAAATAGATTTTTCAAAAATCAGAGGTCCTGTAATCTGAAAGGAAAATGCATTTCTCTAGTGAGAAGGGAAAAAGAAAGTTATCATAAAACCTTTCTAAACAACCTTGAACTTGAGAAAAGGCCATGGACTCCTAGGGGTTTCATCCTGGGAGCCTTTTCAAAACCAGGAGATGGGAAATAGCTCTGTGTAGAGACCACAAAACCACTTCTTAGAAACCTGTGTGCTTCCTACTCTGAGCATCTTCTTTTTCACTCCCCAGGTGGCTCAGATCCTGATTGGTTTGATGAAAGTGTGCCTATTTGCTATAGGTCTGCGTTTTCATTCTTCTGACTTTTCCCATTGGTGTTATTCCCCAGCTATGGACTCAGGATATCTCATATGGGGATCCTTATTTGTGAGTATGTTGGAATGTCTCAACTTCCTCAGTGGTAGAATTCTGGGAATATTTCTTCCAGCCTTCTCTTTCAAAAACCAATGACTCGATCTGGGATTTTACATCTTAGAGCAAAATATGTGACCTAAATGCTTTGGGGTTCTGTTGAACTTTGGTTTGGGGGAAGTACAAGTGTGGGCTCACAAGGTTGAGTAGATTCTTCCATTTTTAGTTCTTTGTGTCTGGAGCTGTGTCTATTGCTGCTGGAAGAAACATGACATTAAACCTGGTAAGTATTTCCCTGGGCCCGAAGCAACAAGCAGAATCAGAAGTGCTCTATCTCAAGACAAAGGAAATAATTTCCAATTCTCTGAATTATCTGGGCTCTATGGGGGTCATGGCAAATTATTCCATGAGGAAACTAAGGTTTGACTTACTTTTTCAGCCCCACTGTCTGATACTCCATCTCTAGGATTGATTTGTGAATACAGAATCCAATGCTTCAGCCCATCTTTCTTAGACTTAGGAAAATTATTTGAGAATGTGTCTTCAAACCCTTCAAAATAAGTGAATGTTTTTGTGTTTCCCAAAGGGAGGAAGAGCATGGAACAGAAGGATGTAGGCGACACTGATTATTCTCTTCCAGATCAAAGGCAGCCTGGAAGTGAACATACTCAGTGCTGTGGTTGGGGGAGTAGGGATAATCTTGTCAACAGTAGAACTGACTGTGGTACATGGATTGGAAAAAAGTTGTCTTATTCTTGTAAGTGTTTTTGAGCTGGTTTTATTTTCTGAAGTTATCTTTCTATTATCCTAAATATACATTAATCTGAGATGACTGTCTCTCAGTTGATCCCGGCTTATCGTCACAAGCAGTAAGATCTGGGACTTTGATCTCATGGGGAGAATTTTCAGCCCCTTTTTGGCTGGGACCTACAAGGATTTTTTCTTGCATTCTTCACTGAACACAGTGATATTAGAAGATTGATCATGAGGATCTTTCTTCAAAGCCTCCAGATTTGAGTTCAGAGCTGGCTCAGAAAGCTCTGTGTCATATGCGGGTGGGGCGGGGAGAGTCAGGGCCTCCAAACCAAGATGCTCAGAGCCTCGGGGGTGTATGTGGTGTAAGGAAAGAACAACGATATCACTTTCATAGACTTGGAGGTTCTCTGCTCTTTAGATGAGAAAAAAGTACAAATTCACACAGGGAGTTATTATAAGAAAATAACTTGAAGTGGGCAACAGAGAGAATTTCTAAGCCAAGAAAACTAAGGAAACACATCTGATTTAATCTAAATTTGTCCTGCATTTATGACGGTCTAGAGCAGACTCCTCTCAGCCATTTTAGGATTTTCTTTTCAATTTTTCTTCTTTTGGTTTGTTATGGGACAGAACGTACCTGTTTCTTTAATGGAGAATGAGTCAGATTGGAATCAGAGAATCCAGGGCCAAAGGAAGTATTCATCTATTAATTATATTCCTTTTCTTTCCCCCCTTCTCTCCCCTCATGGAAACGGCTTCTTTTTAGAGGGCACTTGAGATTGGGCTACTAGTCCTCTCCCTGCTGGAAGTCAGCATTGCTATCTCTCTCTCTGTGTTTGGGTGCAAGGTGACCTGCTTTGTCACACAGGTAAGCGTTCAGGACCTGAGGGAGTGTTCACGTTTGTCATGTGACGCTGAGTCTGTGTTCCTGTTTCTCTCACTGTGTCTCTTCTCTCTGAACCAATGAGAAGGATAAAGAAGCAGAGTGCAGGAAAGATTGTTGTGTATGTGACTTCTTCCTGAAATTGGAAGAGACAACAGAACACAGAGATAGACCTATGGCAGATGTTTCTGGGAGCCTCATAGATCTTGCTGGATATTGATTTTTATCTAGTGGGGGTATAAGGCCCTGAGAAAGGAATATTGAACTCTCAGGTCCCAGGATACAGAAAAGAATTAGGGGTTCCCAGGATGAATTGAATCCCTCTAGCTGGAAGAGTATGTGAATAACACTATATATTTTTCTCAATCTCCACGGGTGGTGGTTATTCAGCCAAACAATGACAAGGTACCCTCAGTAATGGCCCCTTATGAACATATTTATGAGGACCTGAAGTTTTAACAAGATAGTTCCTGCTTTTAGAAAAATTATTCATTGAGTATCACTAGGTCAATAATAACCTGCCTGCCAGAAAGCAGTCACATTTGTGCATGGGAACATAGTTATTACAAAACCAAATAAAATACATTTTTCCCTCTATTGATGCTGATTGTGGTTTTTGGATCCCATCCTCCCACATCATCCCATAATCAATCATATGGCAGGGATTCACAGTATCATTTCTCATGATAACTTTTTTTTTAAAGATTTTATTTATTTATTTGACAGAGATCACAAGTAGGCAAAGAGGCAGGCAGAGAGAGAGGAGGAAGCAGGCTCCCCACGGAGCAGAGAGCCCGATGTGGGGCTCGATCCCAGGACCCTGGGATCATGACCTGAGCCAAAAGCAGAGGCTTAAGCCACTGAGCCACCCACACGCCCCACTTCTCATGATAACTTTTAATGAAACTATACCACACATACAGAAAAGAGTATAGATCATTGTAACAGCTGGTCAATTTTTTTAAATTTTTGTTTTTAAATAATCTCTACACCTAACATAGGTCCCAAACTTACAACCCAGAGATCAAGAGTCGCATGCTCTACCAGTTGAGCTAGCCTGGCGTCCCCAATGTTTAGATGGATAGAAAGTAAACATCCTTATGTAACCAGCACTTGTATCAATGAGTAAACATTACCAAAATTTTGGAAGACTGTGAATGACCCCTTTCATTCACTAAGATTCCCCAGGGTAAGTACAATCTTGACTTTTACTACTCATATGGGTTTTATCTGTCTTTGAATTTTATAGAATGGAATCTTGCAATACGTGTAACTGAGTATATATCCAGGATATGTCTCCTTTCTTCTAACATGTTTGTGAACTTCATTCATGCTATTGCCAGTGACAAAATGTCTTTACTTCTACTGCTGCAAGATAGTGTATTGTAAGATTTATAGAACAATCTATTATCTATTTAAGTATTGATGAATATTTGGGATGCTTCTCTTTGGGATGAATAGTGTTGTGCATGAAAAATGTATCTATATACTTCGGTACAGGTATGTGTAAAATTCCATTGTGTATAGACATAGCAGTGGAATTTCTAGGTCATATCCAAAATGCATATAATACATATAGGCCTTCTAGAAGTGCCTGAAGCCCAGTCATTGAACATTTTCACCTTGACAAATGTGATTTTCATTTTAATCATTTTGATGTAGTTGTATCACATTGTAATAATTTTAATACTATTTATTCTATAACAGCTTTAGATTTATTTTTTATTTTTTATTTATAATATTTTTTATTAACATATAATGTATTACTAGCCCCAGGGGTACAAGTCTGTGAATCTCCGGGTTTACACACTTCACAGCACTCACCATAGCACATACCTTCCCCAATGTCCATAACCCAATCACGTTCTCCCTACCCACCCCTCCCCCGGCAACCCTCAGTTTGTTTTGTGAGATTAAGAGTCTCTTATGGTTTGTCTCCCTCCCAATCCCATCTTGTTTCATTTTTTCTTTCCCTACCCCCAAACATCCCAAGTTGCCTCTCAAATTCCTCATATCAGGGAGATCATATGATAAAATTGTCTTTCTCTGATTGACTTATTTTGCTCAGCATAATACCCTATAGTTCCATCCACGTCGTCGCAAATGGCAAAATTTCGTTTCTTTTGATGGCTGCATTGTATTCCATTGTATTATATACCACATCTTCTTTATCCATTCATCTGTTGATGGACATCTAGGTTCTTTCCATAGTTTGGCTATTGTGGACATTGCTGCTATAAACATTCAAGTGCACGTGCCCCTTCAGATCATTACTTTTGTATCTTTAGGGTAAATACCCAGTAGTGCAATTGCTGGGTCATAGGGTAGCTCTATTTGCAACTTTTTGAGGAATCTCCATGCTATTTTCCAGAGTGGTTGCACCAGCTTGCATTCCCACCAATAATGTAGGAGGGTACCTCTTTCTCTGCATCCTTGCCAGCATCTGTCATTTCCTGACTTGTTAATTTTAGCCTTTCTGACTGGTGTGAGGTGGTATCTCATTGTGGTTTTGATTTGTATTTCCCTGATGCCGAGTGATGTGGAGCACTTTTTTTGTGTCTGTTGGCCATCTGGATGTCTTCTTTGCAGAAATGTCTGTTCATGTCCTCTGCCCATTTCTTGATTGAATTATTTGTTCTTTGGGTGTTGAGTTTGCTAAGCTCTTTATAGATTTTGGACACTAGCCCTTTATCTGATATGTCGTTTGCAAATATCTTCTCCCATTCTGTCAGTTGTCTTTTGTTTTGTTAACTGTTTCCTTTGCTGTGCAAAAGCTTTTGATCTTGATGAAGTCCCAATAGTTCATTTTTGCCCTTGCTTCCCTTGCCTTTGGCAATGTTTCTAGGAAGAAGCTGCTGTGGCTGAGGTCGAAGAGGTTGCTGCCTGTGTTCTCCTCAAGGATTTTGATGGATTCCTTTCTCACATTGAGGTCTTTCATCCATTTTGAGCCTATTTTCTTTTCTTTTTTCTTTTTAAAGATTTTATTTATTTATTTGACAGACAGAGCTCACAAGTAGGCAGAGAGGCAGGCAGAGAGAGAGGTGGAGGCAGGCTCCCTGAGCAGAGAGCCTGATCTGGGGATCGATCCCAGGACCCTGGGATCATGACCTGAGCTGAAGGCAGAGGCTTAACCCACTGAGCCACCCAGGCACCCCTTGAGTCTATTTTCGTGTGTGGTGTAAGGAAATGGCCCAGTTTCATTTTTCTGCATGTGGCTGTCAAATTTTCCCAACACCATTTGTTGAAGAGACTGTCTTTTTTCCATTGGACATTCTTTCCTGCTTTGTCAAAGATTAGTTGACCATAGAGTTGAGGGTCTATTTCTGGGCTTTCTATTCTATTCCATTGATCTATGTGTCTGTTTTTGTGCCAGTACCATGCTGTCTTGATGATGACAGTTTTGTAATAGAGCTTGAAGTCTGGAATTGTGATGCCACCAACTTTGGCTTTCTTTTTCAACATTCCTCTGGCTATTCTAGGTCTTTTCTGGTTCCAACAGCTTTAGATTTATTAAAAAAAAAATCAAGAAGATAGTAAAGAGAGTTCCCATACATCCCAAATCAGCTGACTTCTTATATTAATATAGAATGAACCATATTGATTCATTATCATTAAATTAATGATACATTATCATTACCTTAAGCATTATTATTATTCAGATTTCTTTAGTTTTTAGCCAGTGCCCTTTTCCTGTTCTATGATCCCACCCAGGACACCACATTTATTAGCTGTCATGTTTCCTTAGGCTCCTCTTGGCTGTGGCTATTCATGAGACTTCGTTTTCAATAGCCTTGAGAGTTCTGTGGAATACTGGTCAAGTATTTGTAGAATGTCCCTTAACTGGAGTTTATCTGATATTTTTCTCAGGATTACACTAGAGTTTTGAGTTTTGGGGAGGAAACACTCAGAAGCAAAATATCATTCTTATATCCAATCAAGGGTACATACTATCAACATGACTCACACTGTTGATGTTGACTTTAATCACCTGAGTGCAGTTTTTCAGTTTTTTCCACCTAAAGTTAGCTTTTTCCTGAATTTTATTCTGTACTCTTTGGAAGGATACATACAACCACTGTGTGCAGCCCAAGCTCAAGGAGTCAAGAGTTACGACCTACTGCTTTGAATGTCAGTAACTACATAAGTTATTAGATATTCTGCACTGAGGTTTTGTCCATTTTCTCCCACTTCCTTGTGCATTCAATGATTCATTTGTATGAATTCATGAATACATACATATACTTTGGGTTATAATCAAATACTACTTTATTTTATTGCTCAAATTGCTTCTGTTTTCATCACAGTGGCTCCTGAGTCCCTTAGGTGTACCCCATCTTTGGGTCTCATTTTAAGCATTTCCTTGTTTTATGGCACTACAATATTCTCAGGGTCATCTTATGTAGTTCCTGCTCCAGTCTTGGAATCAGCCATTTCATCAGACAGCCCTGTTTCTTTTTAGTGGAGAATGGTATCAGAAATCCAGATCTGGGCTCTAGGTGTGCTTGTTGCTATTGGGATGTCATTTCTTTTAGGTTGTCTCAGCTAACAGAGCAAAGAAATATATGTACGTCTACTAACTCATGTGTCTTAGTTGAGCTGCTATAACAAAATAGTATAGATTGGGTAGCTTAAACACATTTATTTCTCACAGTACTGGAGGCTGGATGTCTGAGATCAGGATACCAGCATGGTCAGGTTTTTTCCTGGCTTCCAGATAGCCATTTTCTGATTGTATGTTCAAATAGTAGAGAGCAAAGAGAGGAAGCAAGCTCCATTGTGTCTTTTCTTATAAGGTACTAATTCCATCATGACAGATCCCCCGTTTTTACCTCATTCCCTCACTAAGGCCCCCAACTCCAAAAACCATCATGTTGGGGATTAGAGTTTCAACATATGAATTTGGGATGGGGAGGACACAGATACCCAGTCCATAGCACCATGTTCATATACTTTCATAAAAGTTTCTATCTGCTACAGATGGCTACAGATAGAAACAGATATTATACAGATATTATATGTTACATCTGGCTTTGGAAAAAAAATCCCAAGAAGTGCTAAAAAAGGGTAAAAGAAACCCCACAAATTTTTAGTAGTTTTATTTTTTTTTCACTGTTCCAAGATTCATTGTTTATGCACCACACCCAGTGCTCTATGCAATATGTGCCCTCCTTAATACCCACCACCAGGCTCACCCCCACCTTTTTTTCTTTTCCAAAAGAAACCTCACAATTTTTACACATTTTAAAAACTATTCTGTGACCCTGTGGACTATTTAGAAGTATGTTGTTTAATTTCCAAATATTTTGAATTTCCACTTACCACAATTCTGTTATTATCTGGGAACATTTATATTCTTTTAAATTTGTTGAGTTGTGTTTCAACACATGAAGTAACCAACTGGTAAACATTCCTTGTAATTTTGAGAGAAATGTGCTGTTGTTGGATGGAAAAGTCTGTAACTGTCAGTTAGATCAACCTGATTGATACTGCTGCTCAGGTTATCCATACCCTTACTGCTTCTCTGCCTGGTTGGTATATTAGTTGCTGTAGAAGAAGTGTTGAGGTCTCCAAATATAATAGTATATTTGTCCATTTTTCTTCTTAGTTTTCTCCATCTTTCTCCTCAAATATTTTGGACCAGCCACAAGTTACCATTGAGCACTTAGAATATGGTTACTAAAACTAAGAAAATAGACTTGAGATTTTTTTTTATGTTAAATAGTTTAAACTTAAATTGCCATATGTATCTAGTGGCTATTGTATTGTGTAGAAGAGAAATGGAATTGTTTGATCTCATGAGACATAGTATTAATTTTACTGGACTTTGAAAACTTTTGCTTCTTTTATTCAGGAGGAATGGGGTAACACTTTGTCAGTGGACCAATTAAACAACACAAGCTTTTATATATGAGCTTATTTATGTAAAATACCATCAGAAAAGCTTGATGTACTTAGAGTGCTGCAGTATGGTTAATTAACACTATATTAATGAAATACTATAATTTATAGTATTTCATATAGTCAAAAGTATTTTTGACTATATTTACTGTTTTCTTTGATGGATATCCCAGTCTAAACTGAGTCAGCTCAAGCTAGACCATTTGAGAGATAAAGAAACTGATGTTTACTCATGGAAGATACAGACCCAAAGCCACAGAGTGTAAAAGTGAGGGACCAAACATGCAAAGTATTTTCACAATTAGTTCAGGAAACTCTATATTCCCTTCATTGTTTTCATCAAACATTAAACTTCAGAACTTTACATCACCCTACATTTCCTGTTTCCCATACAGTGCTGGGAAGACAACCGTTTAATGGGCTGTGGCAAAAAGTGACACTTGCTTCTTCCAGACCAAAGTATCTAACTGCCAAAGGTCTGATTTATAACTTTTTCTTTCCCTACCTTGGCAAAATTTAAAAAAAATGTCTTTTTGAGATATTATTCTATTTGGTAGAACCCATATTAGTGTGGGTCTAAAGTAAATAGCCAAATAATAATGAACATGTAAAATAGGAAGTAGATGAACTTCTGGTGTGTTAAGCTATCAATATTTCTAGGTTAAGTTTTTTAACAGTGTATAAACCTAGCCTGTGATGACATCCAACATAAAAAACAAACAACAACAAAAAAGGTGGTGACAACCAAATTTTTCTTATAATAAATGCCAGTTGCTATCTTTATGACTCTGACCCACACAGTTGTAGCCTCACATGTGTGTATTTATGCCTCAGTGGTCCCAGTATGAGCTTCTTGCTATCACTGTGGTTCCAGAATACAAAAGTGCAGCCTCATGTTTGTTTGCTAGTATCTGCAGAATAACGTGAAGTTGTTTCTTTCTTACGTTGAAGTTCTTGATTGATTGAAGTTTGAGGGAACACTTCTTCATAAATACTTTCAGAAGGTGTTTTCCAGCGAAACAATAGAGAAATCTGTAAAAAAAAAAAAAGGCCAAAGAATAATCAGTAAAGTCTATAAAATAAGCCATTAAGAATAATATAATCCAATTTGTCAGGCAACAACACAAAATTATTATGTATTTTGGTACTGGAAATGGGGGAACAATATAATATTATTACTGTAAGTATATCTAGGATTTGTAAACAAATACCTAGCATACAGGAGTGGCTTTGGAATTAGGCAGTAGGATGAAGCAAGTTTGAGGAAAATTTTGAGGAGAAAAATTTTCAATAACAAAACTTTGAGGAATAAAACTTTGAGGAATAGTATAGAAAAAGCCTAAAATACCTCAAATGTTTGTTTTTCGAAATAAAGACTGTCAATGTGGCTCAGAAGGAAGTGAGGAACACATTATTGGAAACTGGAGAGACAGTCTTGTGGTGCAGCAGCAGAAGTTTAAGAGAATGTTCTCTGACAGTTATGTGGAAAGCATAACTAGTAAATGGTAAACTTGGATAACAAACTGAGGAGATTTCCAAAGCATTGAAGGTAAAGCCTTGTTTCTTCTTGCTTACAATAAAAGGTGGAAGAGAAGAAATTCTACCCATGGGTGACACCTTTTGCCATGCCCATGGATGGGTCCATCCCACCCATAGTCTTCCTTTCCTGACAGATTGCCCTGAGGAATTCAGACTTGCTTAACCAGACCTTTGAATGATGGAATCCAATGCTTATGATAAATGTCACATACTTGAAATGAGGGGAGTTCTGATGCCATAAACCTTTCCATTTTGTTTGAATTAACCCTAACTGACACAAAGCTGTGGCAATAATTTCAACACACAAAAGAAGCAGGTGATGAGGTTGGGGAAAATATGCTACTAGTTCTGTATTACCCATATTTGTTACATGTGGTAATAAAACATAAAATTCTAGCTATATTTGTGTTTCTTAGCATATTGTATTTTCAATTGTATACACCCATAATAATGTATTTTATCTCCTTCAGGTTTTAAATTAATTATACCTTGATTTTATTATTATGATAGATACTTTGTGTATTCATAACACTAAAGAGTATAGTTCCTATAGTAAATTAATGGGTGGATGGAAGGATGGAGGTATGGATGAATGGATGTTAAAATTCTTGGATATATACCCATGTTTGAGAATTTCTATATGGACTAGAGGACTATACACTGTGTTTTCCAAGTGTGCTCAACACACAACTAGTAACTCTCAGGTCATCCATAGAATCATTTATAGTTTTGTTTTTGTTCATTTTACCAAAGGTTAAAAAAAAAAAAAGTCACTGCCAACGTCATTTAATGAAATAGTTGAAATCATCCTCATTCTTCCAAGAACTGCACTTACCCAGTGAATATCCTTGTCATTCACATTATAGTTGAGCATGGAGAGAGGAAGTGAAATTAAAATTTGCAGACAAGTTAGGATCATTAGGACAATCACAAGTCCCTGTTAAAGGAAATAAAATGTCACACGTTACCTTCTACCCTGATGATAGTTCGGAAAGTTTTATTTCAGAGTCCCATGTCAGACCCTCAAAAGGGAACACGTTATATTATACAAAATGGTGGCATGAGGTTGGATCTGAACTCAGAAATATATGTGCTGGGCGCCTGGTGGCTCAGTAGGTTAAGTCTCTGCCCCTGGCTCAAGTCATGATCTCAGGGTCCTGGGATCGAGCCCCACATCAGGCTCTCTGCTAAGCAAGGAACGTGCTTCTCCCTCTCTCTCTGCCTGCCTCTCTGCCTACTTGTGATCTCTCTCTTTCTCTCTGTCAAATAAATAAAATCTTTAAAAAAAAAAGAAATGTATGTGCTGCTGTAGAAAAACAAGAGCTGGAGATGACAGTCAATATTCTTGAATATACTAATACAAGATGGGATGTTAAACTTGAAAATATTTCAGAATTTGCAAGGATTATTCCGCTTATTATTATTATTATTATTGGTGGTAGTGGTGGGTTATTAGTTATACTATTACTGAAATTATTATTAGTCTGTCACAGATATCAGAAATGTTGGCAATGCTTACAAAGCTGACTTCTCAATACAAATGGCAGAAATGGCAGGGGTTCAGATCTCCTCAGTGAGGTATTAAAATTTTCTAGTTTTCCATTAGATTCAATTCTAATTAAAACCAGAAAGTTTGGGGCACCTGGGTGTCTCAGTGCATTAAAACCTCTGCCTTCAGCTCAGGTCATGATCCCAGGGTCCTCAGATAGAGCCCTACATCTGGCTCTCTGGTCAGCAGGGAGCCTGCTTCCCCCTCTCTCTCTCTCTGCCTGCCTCTCTGCCTACTTGTGATCTCTCTCTGTCAAATAAATAAAATCTTTAAAAAACAAACAAAAAAACAAAAACTAGAAAGTTCTCTAAATTTAGAATACACTCTAAGGTGTGAATTTTTTTTACCACTTTCCTAGTAAGTGAAATGTGTCTTCCAATACTCTAGTGTTCTTGGTTTCTTTTACTTGGTTTCTTTCTTCTGAGGTTTCTGCCTCAGACCATTCATCTCCATTACTTTCACATGGCTTTATTGCAAAAAAGGATCTTCTCTTAGGTAGTGGCAAGTCAGAATAAATGTTCATTCTCCATGTAGCTTTGGGTAATATTTATTTTTAAATTCCTAACAGTAATGAACATTATGATAGGAAATAATTTAAAAATAATAATGGATAAAGTAAAAATTACCTTAATCTTTGACTCAGATTTTTTTTAAGGAGTTTATTTACTTGACACAGAGAGAGCACAGCAGAGGCAGCAGCAGAGAGAGAGGCAGTTTCCCCACTGAGCAGGTAGCCAGACGCAGGGCTCGATCTCAGGACCCTGGGATCTTGACCTGAGCCGAAGGCAGATGCTTAACCAATTGAGCCATCCAGGCGCCCCCTTATTGAGCTGTTTTATGTGACCAAAGGAAAGCTGCTTTAATTTTCTATCTAAAACTTCTTTGCAGAATATTAGGACAAGTTTGTGTTAAGGCCTAGCACATGTATGTATCTATTATTATGCCTATTATTATTATTCTTCGCAAATTTTGACTCAGATTTTAATATTATTTTATTTCTTCACCATTTTTTCTCAAAATTTAGCTCACAGAATTTGGGGCTCTTTGCTGTTGTAGACAAATTGTTTTTTTCTCTTTCTGAATCTGCAAGCAAGAATTTTTGTCATGTTCCTGAATATGGCAATGATCATATCTCATCTTCATCATTCTCAGATAAGCATTCAGTCTTCCAAGAATTCAGGAGGATAATACTTACAGTTGCAACTGATTTGATGCCCAAACAGAGAGTTTCCTTCTTGCAATCATAGTGGCCATTTTTTGTTAAATTGCATGACAGAATACAGATCCCAACAAAGGAGACCAAGGTGCTAAGAGTGTTAGCACCTAGATTCCCTCTCAGCTGAAAAAGAAAAAAAGGGAAATTCCTAGCTTATAAATTAAAGACCAGGGGTTTCTAGACCCTATAAGGAGAAGTCTGACTTAACTTAACCCTGGGATCTATAGGCATTCATCATCCCTGTATCGTCCGTTCAGTTCAACGGCAAATCACAATCGGGAGAAGAAAAGTAGGAGAGGATTAGTCTTCCTTCAACACATGCCATGGATAGGATAAAAACATTAGGGACATTTTAGCATCTCTAGTTTCTGACCCTGTATTAGCTCCTCCCTCCACCAAAATTAAAAGTCTGCCTTGCTCAAGCCTAAGCCAGGCTTTTTTCTTTATTAACATCGCCCTACCCCATACCATTAAAAAAGGCTTTAATAGCTAGATAAAACTTTACTCATTCTTCTTACGGTGACAAGATATGGGGATTGGAATTTCTAAAATCCCAGAAGATCCCACTTGTCTGTATCTAGCCATAAGATGATCACATGATTCATTGGGCCAAATGGACAGTTACATGATGAAATGTACTACAAAACGATGAATCCCTTGTGTGACTGGGATTCACATGGGAAAGTCAGAATGTTATATAAGTTCTCATTTTCTCCCTGAATGACAAATGGAAAACTTGTTAGCTTACCAGTGATTTTGTTTGCTTCTTGGCAGACACAACAGTCAGAATTCCAGAAATGATAAACTGTTTATAAAATAAGAAAGGTGTCTGGGCAGTAGCAGCTTCTTCCAACTCACCCTCCCACCCCATTGTCAGATTCATATCTCTCTTCTTATCTAGTGCCCCCCACCTCCCAGGCCATCCCTTCAGAAGTTGGAGGCTAGCAGACCCAGTTGAAGTGTGTGCACAACACAATTAAAGTAACATAGGTACACTTTAATTCTTATGACCAGTAGAATTCCTTTAGCTAAATAAGAGAAGTAGACATTAAAAACCAGAGGGAAAATTACTTATTTAATGTGGAGGAAATAAAATAAGTAGAGTAACTATAATTCAAATACACACTTTGGGGTGCAGAAAAGGGAGAACGTGAGCTCAGATTACATGGCATTTTTCTCAATGTATTTGGCCAAGAAGCGTGATGACTTAAGAAGAGTACCGCGTCCCTAACCCCAGCATCTTTTCTGATTCAAATATTATTACATTTCAGGGACACTTCTTCCATGTGTCAAACACAGGATTTTCTCCTCAAGCAAAACAGCAAGATTATACTGAATAGCTTCATACTATAGAGCAATGAATAGAATTTCAGGGCACTGTTTCATTGGGAAGTATATTAAAGTTCAGGTTGGAAATTCAGTCTTCACTAAGTACTGTTGCAAGTGTCCTAGAATTGGCAGGATGCCATACAAGTGGTGTGTTGAGTTGATGAATAAATGATTGATTAATTATAATTTGGCATGTGAGATACTCACAGACAATGCCCCCCAGAAGGAGAAGCCTGTGTAAATTGAGAAGAAAATGATTCTGTGCATTTCAGAATTAGGAGGAAGAAATCCAATTATCCCATAAAAGAAGCATTTCACACCAATCATAATCTGAGCCACCTGGATAAGAGACAAAACAAACCAAAATACCAACCATCGAAATTAACAAAACAAACACAATCTGCTTTAAGATAATGGTGAGCATTTTTCAGGAGAGAGAATCACTTGGTCCAAACATCATGGTCATCCACAGGATTGACACCCTTGAATCTTTTTAAAGATCTGCTAAGAAGAGTCAGATCCTGGAGAGTGTTTGTCCCCCCCCCCCCCCCCCGCCAGAGGCCAGTCCATATGGGTCAACTTTCTTTAATAAGATACAGTCACAATGAGGCTCACCCAAGAGCTTAGGACGTTTATAGTCTCCTCTTAATGCACCCCTCCCATGCCCATATAAACATGGTCCCTTGCTTTTAATCAAAGTGTCTTTCTTCCACCCCACAGACTGGTTGATACAGGTCATAACCTAGGGCCTCTATCCCAACCACTTAATTAGTCAGAATAATCCTTCTCCCCCAATATATCCCCCAGTTTCTTCTGGTTTAAAATTCTTTATTAGTGGTTTACTTACTTACCCCCAGTGCTTCTAGATTCTCCTTCAGGAATTTCTGCAGCTTGTCTAGTAGATATTTCAGGGTACTAGATATTTCTGTCTTTCCCAATAGGGTACTTTGGTTTTGGTTTGGAGGAATGTCCACAGGCATCCTATCAGAAGCCAAAGTTTTGTTCATTCTGTAATAGATGGTCATCTGTTATTAGCGGCAGAGATGCACCATCATATGCCAAATACTGTTAATCTTATTATAATGGAAGTAGATACTGGGCTTTTTTTTTTTTTATCTGAGGTCTTTATCAAATATGAAGAGAAGTCACTGGCCAAGTGATGTTCATATGTTTCTGCTGCTGACTCATATCACTGATGTGATAAACAACAGTGTAAATTAAGGAGAGAGATGACAGAGGTTGAATATCAAAACCTATGTAACTATAAGATATCCTCCCAGGTTAAGGAATGCTATTGTTTTTGTTTTTGTTTTTGTTTTTTTAAGTTGCATGTGGCCACAGACTTGTAAGAAAGTACCCATCATGGGAGTTGTGATATATCTATGTGATATATCCATGGTGGAATGAAAATAATCTGGGATTTAGAGGCCAATAGAGGGAAATCTGGGTGCCTCAGTTGGTTGGGTGTCTGCCTTCGTTTGGCTCAGGTCATGATCCCAGGGTTCTGGGACAAAGTTGAGCTCCTTGCTCAGCAGGGAGCCTGCTTCTCCCTCTGCCTGCTGCTCCCCCTGGTTGTGCTCTTTCTCTCTTACATAAATAAATACGACCTTAAAAAAAGAAAGCCAAATAGATCTGAATTAAAGACATTTCCCTTGAATTTAATGAAATGTATCATGTAATTTATCATCCAATACAAGTTAGTTTTGAGAATGAAAGAGAATAGGAGTAGTATCCATAATTATACTAGGAAAATTGGAGATACCTGGTAATACATTATATAAAAGTCACCTTACCTTTAATTTCTGTGTGACAATGAATGCTATATTTAGTTGAAGCCCCAGGTTTGTCAACATAAAATATAATCATGCTTATGCCTAATAAGTGTGATACTAGAAATGATGCATCCAATTTTCCTAGTACCATCAGAGATGAAATAAATGTGACGTAAATTCTCAATTATCTTCTTAAGGAGTTAGGATGCACCTTGGCACTTGTTGTCAAAAACAATGATGGATTTCCATGGTAGAGCAAACCCCAGAATGGTCACCCTTGAAAACTAACTCACCTTTAACCTTTTTTTCCCAAAAATATTAGCTTGTTATTTCTTTATCATCTTCTACTATATCAATTTTATGAATATTTGTTAACATTAAATTAAGTTTGGAAAATAGGGGCAGACTTTATTCCTTATTGCATCGGTATTTATGAATTCTATCACTATCCCTATTATGTTTTAACTTAAGTTAACTTTAAGTTAAACTTAGAAGCATTTAACTAAAATATTTTAAATATTTGATAATACTTTATACAATTTCTTCTTATGTTTTCTCTTCCCATTATGTTAATTATATGGAATTAGACCCTTCATATAACTGCTTATGTATAAAATTCCTGGATCAAAGTGAAAACATAGTTTCTGACTCTTGAGATCCATGCCACATTTCTTAAAAAAAAAAAAAAGGAGAGGTAGCAGTGTACACTGGTCCCAATTACGTTTGTATGTGTAAATTTCTTTGCAGTTCTAGTGAAAAGATTAAAATATCATGACATGGAATGCTTATGGGACACTTAAAATTAATCCTAAGTATTCAATTTTTCTAGTCCCAGTAGTTGCTCTCAATTAAGCAGTTGAAACAAGGAATTTATCTTATGTGATCACAACTAGAAGTGCTAACAAGAACATTTTTTTTTCTATTTCTTTAGTGGATGAGTCTTGTCCATTAATATTTCATAAATAAAGAGTATCTCATCAATCAGTTATTATATTTTCTTAAAATGTGACTCCTATATCCACAGATGGTAAATAACTTACCCAAATTCACAGACATATTTACAGATGTGGGACCAAAGAGCTAGAGGTCTGATAAGTAAGAATCTGCTTTTCAGATAAAGCCTGGCGCAGATTAACACATCCCTTATTTAGCCTCCTGAAGCCCACACATAACAGATTGGAGTGTTTGAAAGCCATAAATTTCAGAGTAACTATGTTGGGGGGAAATGAACTGTTGACTCCAAAAAAGTATCCCCTGTCACTCCTCACTGCAAATTTCATTATTTTACTCATCCATTCACTCAACAAATATGTATTTTAGGTTCAAAATATTGACCATAATATTTACTTTACTCACTCCAATTCACTTTAATGATTTTTATTACAGATATGTTATTATATACTGTAATAGTCTATCAAATCTTAAGCCTGTCATTCAGCCTTTCCTTTTTAAGCTACCATCCAATTGTTCAATATCTTTTTAAAAAGATTTCCTGTATTTATTTGATAGAGAGAAAGAGGGAAAGAGGGAGTACACAAGCAGGGGGAATGGCAGGCAAAGACAGAGGGAGAAGCAGGCTCTCCACTTGCAAGGAGCCTGATGCGGGACTCGATTCCAGGACCCTGGGATCATGACCTGAGCCGAAGGCAGTTTCTTAACCAACTGAACCACCCAGATGCCCCAACTGTTCAATATTTTGAGCAGGATTTTCACATTTACAGTCATCATCTTTCTAACAAATGCTGCCCTTTCACCTGGTGCTGAGTTAGAGAAGGACACTGAAGTATTTCTTGGTTACTCCACAATACAAACATTAGCCTTGTTTACCACATTGCTCTCAACTTAAATATTAACTTCAAAGCCCTACTACCCTTTATAAGTTAACACAGCTTCAAAACCACCTAATCCTCTTTATTCTACCTCTACAAAATTAGTTATAAAACTCTCATGATTCTCGCCAAGAATACTATTGTGAACTTAGCTGGCTCACCATGTCCAGACTTGACATTCTGAATTGCACTTGCAGACTGTAAACAAAAAAGTTTCAATGTCTCAATTCTAACCAAGTTATTCCCCTGTATCATAAATTGGGTCTGCTAGAAAATAGGACTGGAGACAAACTTCCTTCTTAATGCTGAGCCTTACCACTATCCCCTGACGCATAAAGGGTACTTGCATAATCAGAAAGTCAGAAAGTAGGAATGAAGACAAGATCAAATGTGTCTAAGCCACTGAAACTTTCTGCATTATCTAAAAAAATTTCCTGAAATACTCGGCACTGAGTATCTACCAATAATGGAAAGAAAGGAAGAACTGTCTCTGCTTTGAGCCCACATTCTGTCCAGTGTTTCTGTCAGGTTCTACAATTGTGCCTCTCAGAACATAGACAAAAGTACATTCTGGTGCTCTGGATAATGGAAAAAAAAAAGTTCTACCTACCTAGGTTTGTTCCACCGCAGGGATGTGGGAGCTTGTAGTCTTCTTAAGCTTATGTCTCTTCTGTGACTATCAAGGACTGTACCAATGTGTGGGGGAGGAAAATTTATGTTTTGATCTCTGTGTTTCCTCATTTGCTGTATTTCCACACCTAGAACTCCTGATAAGCAGTTCTGATGTTTTCAGACAAAGTTGATATACATAATGTTTTGTTCCACAAAATCAAAAGCATTATAACATAATCCTCAATACTGATAGTTTTATTTCCATACATTCTCTTTCTATTAATCTGACAAAGACTGTATTTGTTCTTTTAACTCACTAAATAAAATTATTTCCTTCAGAGCAATTTCTAGGAAATTCATATTTTCAACCAACTTCTCTTGGTCTTTGCTTTAGTACCTTATCAACTATAATGTCGCTAAAATAAAATAAATATAAACAAAACAAAAAATAAAAATATTTCCAATGATAGTTAAACTTCAGGAATATCTATCTATCTATCTACCTATTATCTACCAACCCAATGATCAGGCTATGATTTGTACACCAAACAAAGTATTAACAAATAACTGTATTAAGATGATGTTACAATAAAAATCAACAAAGTGGATTAAACTTCATTGAGAATGACCAAGGGAAAAAGATAGAAGACAAAAGTTATCAATGTAAGGAATGAAAGAAGGGATATCACTGCAGAATGCAGAGATGCTAAAAGGAAATAAAGAAACACTGTGAATATATTTATGAAATAAATTTAACATCTGGAAGGAAATGGAATTACCTGAAATACACAAATTATGAACACTGACTCAAAAATAGGTGATCTCAGTAGTTTAATATCTATTAAAGAAATCTAATGTATAGACAAAAGCATTACAATGACAATAACAAAACCAACTCCACCTGGTTGGCCATATCACTGGCTAATTCTACCAAATACTTAAGGAAAAAAGTAATTCAGCATAATCCCTTCTATTTTATGAGGTCAGCCTTACTCCACTACCAAAACAAGACAAATATATCATAAGAAACACATAGAAATAACTTTCAAAATAGATGCAAAAATCATTAACAAAATCTTATCAAATCAAATACAAAAGTATATCAAAGGATAATACACCACAATCGATGGGGTTTATTTCAAGAAAGCAACAGTGGTTTAACAAAAAATCAATGTGTACAATTCACCACATTGACAGAATAAATATGAAAGCCCATATGATCTTCTCAACATACAGAAAATATATTTGACAAAACTTACTTATTCATGATAAAGAAAAAACTCAAAAAACTAGGAATAGATGGGAATTCCTATTATCTGAAAAAAGCCAACTACAAAACCCTACAGTTACAACATACCCAATAATGGCCTACTGAATGTACTCCCCTGTCCCCCAATACTACTGTGTCTGCCCTCCCCACTCCTGTTCAACATCTACTGGAAGTCACAGCCAATGTAACATGGCAAGAAAAGAACAAAAGACCTACAGCTTGGAAATTAAGAAATATAAATGCCCCTATTGAAGATATAATAGTACATGTGGAAAATCCCAAAGAATCTTTTACAAAAATCCAGTATAGTAGAGTATAGTAGACTTTGCTTTCTGAAAAAAGCATTAAAATAAGAGATGGAGTTTAATTTGTTAGGCCACAATGAGATGCATTTTCCACATTATTTTTGTTCCCATAGGCCAGAGTCTAGTGTCTAAGACAGTGTTAAGCGCCAATTAATATATTGTAGTTGACAACGTGGTATCAAACTGTGACAAGAGTTAAGTCAGAATCATACAGAATCATACAGAATCATACCGATTGCCACTTTCTGGTTCTATTGCGGATGGTACAGGCAGGATTGCATTAAGCCATCTCCCAGTACCTCCTTGAATTTTGGTTAGACATGTACTAAGGGAGGCCACCTGTGTCTTTTGACTACATAATTACAAACTGATAGTGTTCCAGGACTTTCAAAAAAGTGAAAACATGATGATGACTGTTCCCTCGACAAGTAGTTTGGGGGTTATTTTAGGCTGCATCAGGATCTATGAAGCAAAAGAGACTAAGAAAAAGCAGAACTGGGGCTCCTGGGTGGCCTCCTGGGTTAAGCCTCTGCCTTGGGCTTGGGTCATGATCCCAGGGTCCTGGGATGGAGCCCCGCATCGGGCTCCCTGCTCAGTGGGGAGCCTGCTTCCCTTCCTCTCTCTCTCTGCCTGCCTCTCTGCCTACTTGTGATCTCTGTCTGTGACAAAAATAAATAAAATCTTTTATTAAAAAAGAAAAAAGAAAAAGCAGAACCTGTGCGCAGAAAGTGTGTGTATTTTCCTTTAAAAATATTTTATCTTCATTTATTTGAGAGAATGAGAGATAGTGCAAGAGAGAGCGCACCAAGTGGGGGAAGGGAGGAGGGGCAGAGGAAGAGGGAGAAGCAGGTTCCCTGATGATCCCAGGTTCCATCCCAGGATCCTGGGATCATGACCTGAGCTGAAGGCAGATGCTTAGCCAACTGAGCTACCCAGGCACCCCCCGTATTTTCCTATTTTAAAACATCTTTACTCATTGGAATAGTTTTATAGGGTCCTGAGGTTAAAAGACTATAACTGACTTCGTGATGTAAAATCTTCATAGCACAGATGGAAATAATAATAGGAAATGATAACTCCTTTAAGGTGAAAGGATAAGAACAGGGCTTATTTTAATTCTTTTATTTCACGGAAATTTGTACTCTTTAGGGATAGGGTCAGTAGCATCATGGTCTACACAGCTGGCCTACTGTACAGCTCCCAGTATAGGGTTAAAATTATAGTCTGAAGCAAGTGGCTTCTCAGAAATTGTGTAAGTGGGCGGTTCTGGTACATATCCTCCACACCAGACCAGAGTCCCAGAGTACCTACAACCTTTCCATTTATTCCATTTTTTCCTATTATGGAGGGTGTGAGATGATGCCATTGTTGATGCTGATGAATCATATGCTTCATTTATCATTTCTAAATGTAATCATGATCGGGGATAGAGCAGGAGACCATAGCAGAGTCAACACCAGCCAACTGTGACTTTTTCTCCCCTTGAGAACACCGAAGGCTCTGTTTACTGCCTGATTATTGATTTACTCTCAATGTATTATTGAGGAATAATTCAAAAGTTGATATATCAAACAACTAAGTGGGTTAGAAAGCCACCTCATCATAGTCAGGATAAAGAGCAGCTATGGGAAGTCCACGCTCATTGGAGGATAAGTCGACAACCACCTGTGGAGGAAGAACACACAGTAGATGATATTTCATATGTTATGACATTACACTTGCCCATGACCCTAGTTCTCCTAATGCATGGATGCTCCTTGGGGTCCCTCTTCTCTTTCTGACATGAACATCTACATCCAGTCAAGCAACTTTCCGCTAGTACCCAGTCTAATTTTACACATGTGGCTGCTAGTGGCAAAACAGATTGCAAGGGGCTCCTAACCTGACAGAGGGTCTTGGATGTTTTGTATGCTTTGAACGGTTCAGTAAAACTTAAAGAGGTAAATGTAAAAGTGGCAAAGAATATCCTAAAACGCATTCTGGGTCTTCTGGATCACAGACACTCACTGAGGTCATATCACAGCAGACAGCACTGCATCCAAATGCAGACAGCAACACCGAGATGATGAATCCCAAGATGATGAGGGCGAGATTCATAAACAAAATCCCCTGCAAATTAAAATCACACAGGGAGGAAAGATGGAAGGACTGAGCGAGGAAACTCTTGCCATGGACCCTGCAGGTTCTCCTTCATAACGAATTGACAGATTGTCAATGGCAGTAAAATATCCCACTCTGGCCACCTTCAGATAAAATCTGGGCAGAGACACACATAATTACTCTAATTTACAGACTCCCAAATTTGCAATTTCATTCATTTATAGTTTTCGCATGGAAGAAGTGAGATTCTCTTAACCAATTTTTTCCTCGACATAACCAATTGGTAAAGAGCCTGCACATTTGCAAGCCGTGCTTCGGCTTGTTTTAGGATCCCTTTACATTCCACAGTAATTTTCACCATATAATCAAGGAGATCAGTGTCAGTTTTATTAAACAGATACTTTCTAGAAAGGATCCTGGACTTTGTCTATTATTATGCTGAATGGATTAAACATCTAGATTTCTCTTTACCTTAATAAAGACAGCAATTACAATCATTGAGTGAATTCATTGGCAACCATTCTGATCTCATCTCAAATAAGGGTTTTATTTAGCTCACCTGATGCACTTAAGTCCTAACATCACCAATAATTTATAGTTCGGAGATATTTACTCGCTCAGTGTTGAGGCCCTGACCTTTTTCTTCAAGTGATTTGTCAGTGTTAAGCAGTGCCAGATTGCCCACTTGTGATGAGAAGGACGTCTGCAAGGAATTTCATATATATATGGATTAGTACCAAGAGATTTTTTTTCACTGGATCTGTCAATACTTACAGTTATGAAATAATGAACTGATATGCTTAAGAAGTAATAGGATAGGGTCATTCTGAGTGCAAGGATCATTAGTGACAATCCTGTTGATACGGCCGCCACAGTGTTTGCTCCAACGCTGCCACAGATCTGAAAAAGAATCAGAACCTGTTCTTCTACTCTTGAACCTGGCAAGTGATTGTACATATGTGTGCATTTTATTTAAAATTCAAGTGAAATTGAAATTCATAAAACTTGTGCACAGGGTTGCTATTTGCTACTGGGTAATTTCTCATCTGAGCTGGACAGAGACAACATGACCTGTGGGGAATAGGGAAAGAATCATTCTGGGATCTCAACTCAAGGCAAAGAGAAATCTGGGAATTGGAGACAGCTTGATCATTTTGGAGACAAAGGTTGGTCTACGCTATGCCTGTCTTAATTTTCTGAAACTGTAGATAAATGTACCATCTGTTTTGTTGTCTTCTTTCCAGACACAATAGACACAGTTCCAGATATGATTAACTGTAAAATGTTAAAGTTCAATGAGTTAGTCTGTGAATACATCATTCTGTAATCTTTTTTCCTGACACCAAATACTTCACAATACTTTTCCCTGAATTTTGTGCTTATAAATGATAACTATTAAGGATTTTACATATATCCTAAGTAATACAGAAATCAAAGTGATTCCAATTTACTTACAAAAATTGGTCCCAAAAGGAAAATGAAGAAATATGCAGTGTTCCCTGGGACTAGATATCGTTCATAGAATGAAAGGAAGACTTTTACCATAATCCACAGGTAAATATTCATTAGGCCAATCACGATTTGGCTCACCTAGAAAATGAGAAAATGCCTCTGAGTTAGGAGGAATAAGCTTTAGAATTATTTGCCCCATATTTGGAGGTTGTAAACGATTCAGGATTCCTTTAATTTCGAGAATTCCATGACCAGTGCTTAAATTTTCATTCAGTGTTACCGAATATAAAACAGTTTGGTGATTTGGCTAAATGGCATATGTGATTTCTTATTCGAAAGTCCTATTTTTCTCTTGATTTGGGAATTATTGCAAACACTCCAAATTCTCCTCTCAGGTCATCATGTAGCTTTGATCCAGAGTAAATTTAGGGGGATATGAGCCATCTCAAAATCCATAGGGAACCTTCATTGTACTTACCCCAAGAATAACTGGCTTCCCCTTTAGGAAATTCTGCAGGTTGCTCTGTGCCTCCTGAGGGAAAGGTATTGGTCCAGACTGGCCCTGGCGAATGGCTTGATCTCTTTGTTGAGGATCCATAGTTATGCCCCTTGATGCCGTTGGTCTTCACAACCTGTGGGTTGTGATATTGAGTCACAGGTAGTGTTGAGTCACAACACATGCCTGGCATGTGCTGGCCAGAAAGATCAGGTAAAAGGATTAGTCTCTTTGGTTCCATGCGATAGTTAGTGTTCACAAATATTTCAAAGTAAAAGGTAGGTACTGTACTAAATGTAAGAAATTAGGCCATGTATTTGTTTGAATTCTTTTTATTTTATTTTATTTTATTTTATTTCTTTTCAGTGTTCCAAAATTCATTGTTTATGCATCAAACCCAGTGCTCCATGCAATACTTGCCCTCCATAATACCCACCACTGGGCTTAAGAGTGGGAAAGCTAACATTTATTATTTAGCAGTGTACTTCAAGCAGGTCCAAATAGCATATTCTCTCCTATCTTGAGTTCCAGAAAGGCTATGTAAGGAATGTAGACTTACATTATAGGAAGCCGAGGATCTTAGCCTTAGTGCATGTGTCTTACGGATCTTTTTGTCTTGAAATAATGTTGACCATCTTGGTCATGCAGCTGAAAATCAATATTGCCCTCTAGTCCTGGTATTCCTGCCCCATGGAGAGACAACAAAGTGTTTGTTACTTTGTTTCTGTGTTTTCCTGGGTAGAATTCTTTCATTTACACTTCTGTTCCTAGGTAGTTATCTGGCATAGTTATTTTTGTTCTGTCTCTAGATTCAGGCTCCTTCTGAAGTTAAAGAACTAACAGCATTTGACTCAACAAGCAACAATGTAACATGCATGCTCTTAGACTCAGAGCTCTAAGTCCCTCCCTCTTGATACCCCTGACTAGCTCACAACAGGTGACTCACACAACTGACTCACCACACAAACTGTACACAATTCGCCACACATCTTTGCACTGGCATAGCTGGGTAGGTGATTTGGTACCACATCTGCCTGAGCCTTCAAACGCTTGTTTTTCTACTCATGATCTGCCTACAGAAATGTTAAGCAAAATACCCGCATATTAGGAGTGCTTTTCTTCTCTAACAGCAAGAAATCTTCTTTTTTTATTTGAACACATGGACCATCCTGGGTATAAACAAAAAATATATAGCCTTTTTTGTCTTCATCATGATGACAATGGATACTCTGTTTCATGTACATTTCTCATTGAAGTGAAATCATAGGAAACTTGGTAGAGTCCATGGAGCTAGAATTTCACTTTTCGTACTGAACTGTAAAAATTTCTAGCTGTATGGTGTACAGGTATGTTCAAATTTATCAGAAAATATATTAAAAGAATAGCAATAAAACAAATATTTCTTCTACCTACCTTTATTAAGTTCTGTAAAATCTGATGGTTCTTCTACAGAAATTAAAACCTTTTATTCTGAGGAGATTGACCAAACAAAAAGGAAAGGAAACATTATACAGTTGAACCTTGAACAACACAGTTTTGAACCTTGCAAGTCCACTTATTATGTGGATTTTTATAATATGATAGTACAGTACTAAAAATGTATTTTCTTTTCCTTATGATTTTCTTAGTAACATTTTCTTTTCCTTAGTTTACTTTATTGTAATAATATAGTATATAATACTTAGAACATAAAATGTATGTGTTAATTGACTCTTCATGTTCCTGGTAGGGCTTCCAGTCAACACTGGGCTATTAACAGTTAAGTTTTGGGGGAGTCCAAAGTTATATCAGATTTTCTACTCTGGGGAGGGAGGGCGCCCAGAACCCCCCTGTGTTGTTCAAGGCTCAGTGGTAATTACTTTCAAATGGAAAATGGCATGGAAAAAATCATGCACATTTGAAAGCTAGTATTTAAATGTTGAATTTGCTTAATGCGGGCCAGTGACCCTTTCTATAGAATTATTCATGATGTTCTGACTTTATTCCTACCCTTGTTTCAATGACAGTTACTACCTTCTCGTACTCAAAATCTCTGTTTTTATTACCAACAGAGAATTTACCTTAGGTATGGAAATAAATGTGAATTTTTTCTTATTTCTTGATAACATTATAATTAGTATGATATTGCCCTTACTATCTAATTTAGTATTTTTTAAAAAAATCTTTAATCCTGTTCCTTATTATTAGTCATATCTGAAGCAAAAATACGTTTCTCTGAACAAACTGTAACTCACTTTTCATGATGGTAAAGTCAACATCCTAAAAATTTTTTTTTCATTGATACCTGATAAACAAAGCAGTCTTTGGAACTGAGAGTCCACTCAATGCCATATAATTTTTTTCAACAAGAGTAATGATCATGCAAAGAATATGATTCCAGATCAAGACCATCTTCCTTTTGGATCAAAGTTCTTTCACTGACCAAAAAAAAAAAAAAAAAAAGTCAAATGTCATTACATAAAAATGAATAAAGCAGCACTAAATAATACTAGAAACCAGACTTACAGACTAGTAGAAAGCTACTCTGTGTTGTAAATTCTAGATAGTATATGATTTTTAGGCCAATTCTTCTCTGTCTTTTGAAAATGACTACATGGCTGAGATGGTTTCAGAAAACAATCTGGAATGGTTCTATGGGTCTTTAAAATTGTAACATTAAGTTTGCTACTGGAGAGTCAAACATTTTTTTTTAATGAAAAAAAAAATCCCCTTAGACATCTATGTCCTTCTCAAATAACGAGTTTTATAAAAAGTAGTTTTTATAAGATTATTCTATGGCTATGGTTTCCTCCTATGGAATAATTTCAGGAAAACTTGTATGAGTCTTAGGGCCTGGCATGGAACTGACATGCCCTCTCATATGCCAGAGGAATACCCATGTAAATAAGAATAAAAGAAAAATACATACCTCTGTCTCAAAACAACATTCAGTCTTAACTCGATATCTGTACAGGACCTGGGAACACCAGTACCTTAGAATTGGTCTCAGAGGCTTTTCCGTGAAATTCCCCCAAGGCAGCAAGCAGTATATGATTTGTGTCTCTATCAGGCACTATAGGCTGTGGGAATTTGGTATATGTAGGTTTTGCTCAGTAAGACAGAATGAAGAGATAATGATACACCATCCTAAAAGACACCACCCTAAAAGACATCTTTTTGCTCTGTGTTTCTTGCAGATGGGTTTCTACGATGGCGTAAAATGCATGATGCTGACAGAGATAATCATTTATCTCTATGCTTCAGATAGCCACAGTCTTGAGTGCCAAAGCTTTGCACACTCTTTTCTCAGTGTGAGGGCAAATCTTAATTCCTATTTACCTACAACTTCCCAAAGACCTCGCTAATGAAACATGTGCTTACTGTTTGGGGAAATATTTTGACTTATAATAAAACCTTAATTTGCCCATAGAAATCCTCACCTTTAATAGAAAATATGGGATTTTTTCATAAATATGGGGTTTTAACTCTCTTGCCTCCCAAATTATACTTCATATGTTTTGCTAACAACACCGGTTTCTCTGTGATAATGTTAGCTTCCTTGACAAATAATAATAGAAAAATAGCACACGATATTTATAGAGCCCATGTCAGGAAATCCAAAGATGGGAGTAATGTGTTATTTGTCCACATCTCTGGAATTATATTCTCCAAAAGTATAAGGGAGCCTTTGCGTGTTCTATAGTCTTGGCTAAATTATCCTTTATCTTAGAAAGAAAGTAGAAATCTGTCATCCCCTCCACTCTGTGACTCCTCTGGGTTCTTTTGTGGTATTTATGGTTACCATCATGAATTATGGAGAATCTCCGTACTACCACCCCTGCCTTCCTTCAAGGCATCATAAACTGAGGTAAAGCTTCTAATAGGGAAAAAGATGTTCTTTTCTTATCCTGGTGTCTGTCTACAACTGTACAAAATGTTCCTGTTCTTGTTATCTTGTGCTTAAAATCTGTCAAAAGGAATGCTCTGCCTTTTCTTCACAAACCCAAATGTCCTCCTTGTGCAGAGGTCACGCAAATCTTCTCTGGATTGTTCCAATTTTAGTATATGTGCTGCCGAAGCAAGCCCTGCTCTGCCTTTTCTTAACTGGAAGAATTTTCAGTACCATATTCTTTAATTCGCTGAAAAGTTCTGTTATGCAAGGAGTTTGACCTCTTTCAACAACTTTTTCTCCACCTATGGGGAGGACCATATAGTTTCTGCCCTTTACTCAGAGCTGTAAAACAACCTTACACAGCTGGCATAAACTGGCATGGTTAGGACATACTTTTTTAATATGTTGCTTGGTTTAATTTATTAATATTGTTAAGGATCTAAGTTCATGTAAATGTATTTTATTTTCTTATGATATTTCGATCTGTTTTGGATGGGGGCGGGGGAGACCTGGTTACTGCTTGCCTCAAAAATAATCTCTGAAGTTCTTCTTCCTCTTTGATTTTCAGAATCGAATACCAATACTATTGGTATTATTTCTTCATTGGATGTTTGATAGAATTGCCCCTCAAAGCCATGTCCACCCAATCTTCTCTGCATGACAAGCCCTTTAATTATGAATTCAATTTCTTTTCATGATACAGGTCTATTTTATTAATCAGGGTCCTCCAGAGAAACAGAACTAATAAGATGCACCAATATGGACAGTGAAATTTATTATACAGACTTGGCATGTGTGATTGTGGAGGCTGAAAAATCCCAAGTTCTGCAATCAGCAAGTAGGAGACCAGAGATCCAATGTGTAGTTCGGGTCCAAATCCAAAGACCTAAGTAACAGGAGAGCCTACTACAAGGTAAGGTGTTAAGGACAGGGTTTATTTTCAATTATTTACATTTCATTGTTATGTATATTTTGTGGCAAACACATCAGAAAAATCACACTCCGGCACAGATGGCCTATTGCATAACTCCAAGTAGCATTCACAGTATGGTGTGCAATGAATGACTTCCCAGAAATTGTGTGGATCAGTGGTCCTGAGACATGTTTTACAGGAGCAGACCAGTGTCCTAAATCTTCGACAAGCTTCCTGTTGTGTCTCTTTCTTCATGCTAAGAAGGTTGTGACATGATGATAGTCCCGATGGCATAAGCATTGTATGCTTAATTCATTA